TGTACCAGAATAATGTTAAGTATATTAAAATCCTTTGGGCATTTTCTTAAAGCCAAAGTTATATATAATTGCCTGAAATAACACCAAAAACAATTTTGTATAGGGACTTGAGAAAATAAATTTCAAAGTTCAGAAAAATGGCACAAACACAGGTAAAATATCATCATCAGTTTCATTTCACCAGTACTTTCAAGTGTTTGATGAACTTCAAAATTTGTTTTCAACATTTGGTGTTGTCGGAAATGATTTCTATGGAGAAGATATTTGAAACAGTCCACAGAGGTTTGCAATATAGTGCAAATAATCTAGTAGGTACTAAGTTTTTGTCCACTTGTGACTCAAACTTGTGGTAGATTCCTTCTTAATGTCAAAAGCATCATTTTGTAAAAGTGGCTCAACTACTTTTGTCACGCATTGTAGGTGAGGGTTTGTTACAAACAAGCTATTGACTTTGAAGTGCACTCAGGACTGGGTTGTACTCTTAGCAGACACTGTAAAACAGGAAACAAATATAGCAAATTTTGACATAAACGTGTTAAGAATCCAAATTGACAGTTCTAAGTAGACCAGTTGGCTATTTACAAACTGACTAGCGTGTGTAGCAGGTGTAAAGCAGGGAAGAGGGTGTAGGAGTGTAGGAGGGGGAGGGGTGATAGAAGGAGGGTGGTTGGGAGAGAGGAACAACTTCCCCTGCTTTCTTCAAGACCTTTTTGATTCCCCTACACCTTTCCTATATACACCTGCCACACAGGCTGATTGTGACTGAGGAGTTAAACCCAAAACTACTGAGAAGCTGTCCATTAATTTTAGCCCTGGGCAGACTGGAAGATTTGAATTAGGGGTCTCCAGATTTTAAAATGCAGCATCCCACTCATTCTCACCCCTTACTTTGAAAGTAATCAAAACTAATCTTTTGTGCTTTTCTTTTTTGCAGGAGAAACTTCAATACTGAACAATCGAAAGTCAACCTGTTAAAGGTTTCGGCAAGATCTCCACCCCGTAGTGCGGCATCTGATTATATTAGAAGTCCAGAGCCACAAGTAATACAACCAAGGTACATTTCAGATTTCTGTTCCATGTTTTATTGCTTTTATTCTTTTATGCATTTTTGTACTCGGTTGAATTTTAATTTTTCCCATTCTTTTGGTCCTCATTGAGTCAACATCCTGTTTTTCTAGAGACAACTACTATTTACTATTTTCCTTGGATTTTCTTTGTTGTGTGTTAATGTTGTCCAGGTGGGGTTTTGACAAAATTTAATTTCAATTTTCTCTTTGTGTAGGGGGTCTTCAAGAGAACTGGTTGGAGATAGAAGAGGTTAGTGACTTATAATAAATTTTTAAATTAGTAAGTTTTTTTTGTTAATATATTTAGATTGCAGGTCTACATAAACCAGTATTCTTGTCTTTCCAATTTTAACAATGTACCTTGTCATAGAAATTTAAAAAATATATATTTTTAAAGACACAGGATTCTAATTTGATAACTTTTATATCATGGATATGTCAACATTTATTAAAACGTGGTCTCCTCACAAGTTCCTCAACTTTTTTTGTTGTCATTATTCAATGATTTCAATTTGTTGTTTAATTTCCAGGTCAGATTGTTCCGTATCGTTATTCTCCAGTTCGATATTTTGAGCCTGCGCCAATCCAACTTGGACAGAGCAATGTTTTACACGAACTTAAGTGAGTATCTTTTCACATGGTAATAATTTCCATTTTTTTCATACCCCAAAATTTCTTCAAACCTCCTGGTACTTTTTTTATCTTTATGCTTTTTTTATCTTTATGCTACTTGTTTCATATTTATGCTAAAAACTTGATTTAAGAATAAAAAACCTTCAGCGCTGGCGAGTAAATATCCTGCTTGACTATATTTCCTTCTTTTCTCTTGCTAACAGTATGTTGAAGAATGAGTATTTTCACAAAGGAGGCAATGATCCTGCAATACTGGCACAAATGCGAGAGTTGGAGTATGAAGCACAAAGAATGCAAGCTACACAGAGGCCGCCACCAGGTAATAAATGTATCTTATTGCTGATTTTGATGTGTAACTGAGTTTGTTGAGTGCTAAGAAGTCCAGGCCCTAGTTGTTCGAAGGCTGGACAAGGCTAACCACTGGATAGATCGCTATCCAATGGATAAGTCTTAACAAAACAATCCACGCTATCCGCTGGACAGTGATTTATCTGGTAGATTGATAGCGTTATCCACCTTTCAAACAATCTGGGCCAGTCAAACATAAGTATTGTTTCGAGCTTCCTCTTAATTTCAAAAATTAACAAACAATATCTAGTTTCTGTTTATTTAGAATGTCAAACAAAGTAAGCCACACGTAGAGAGAGCCTCTTGTACATGTACAGTAACATCTTACAAAGAATTATTGTTATATGTTCATGTGGTGCCGTCGACATTCAGTCAATACCGTTTATAATGACCGTTTTATTTCATTCTTTTCTGTGGTGTTCAAGCTGTGGATCCGCTCCTACAACAACAGATAATGAATTTTCACTTGGCCAACCAAAGACTAGAGCAAGAGTTACAACTTTTGAGGGTAGGTCTTAAAGGTGGTCTCTCAGAAGTAAAAGTTGTCGAACGATTTTTGTGAATCTTTCCCTGAATGTTCCCTACCAAGCACTGTTTCGAAAAGTACATTAAATAGCATAGGCCACGATGCCCACAAAGAGATATGATGGGCCAATCTTACCCCCATTTAGGCCTAACCACGTGGGTTTTTTCATCGGTTTCGCTAATGACGCGTGCGCAGTAGGGATGTGTAATGCAATTCTGAGGAATTCTTGTACTATTAACAGAATATTTTTATAGGTCTTGGAAGTAATATATCAAACACGAAAGACCGTGTTTGACCACATTTCTAAACACCAAGAAGAGAGTTGACCTGTTGAAGATTGAAAGATAAAGATTGAGTTCAAAATACGACGCGCAGCGGAGTATTTTTGACGAACTTCGAGGTGTTTGGAAATGTGGTCAAACACTGTCTTGACTGTTTGATATATCTTCTCAGTCGAAACTAAAACTATGGAGAAAACGGAGAAATAAAATCGCAAAAATTTATCCTAATTAAGATCAGATATCCAAACACCGTCACAGTCATGATTTTCTTTGTCTAAACTTGATGAATAATTAATGAGTTTGAGAAGCAATTCTCCAATATTGTTGGTTTGAGGTCCGTCTATTGTTAGTCAAATTAACCAATTTGACTAACAATAGACGGATGAAAACCGACCAATGACTGGTGACAAACTTTACACGAGTCTTTCAGCCAATACCAACATGGTTAAACTGACCAATCACTTTCAACGGACCAGACTTATAACATCATCGACTGACAAACACCATTCACTTGACTCTGAAGATGATTTCCGTTCAGGTTGTCGAAACGTCAGTCACCAACAACAGTTCTTTTCAGAGCTACACTCACCAGGACGATCACACTATACGAACTACTGATACTCCTGGGTTCAAACCATTTACTGTATTCATGCACATGTCCATTCTTTATCAGCTTGCCCCCTGTCAAACAAGTTACTCTCCGCATGTTATCCCTCTCTTCGCTTTACTGACTAGAAACCCGTTTTGTAATGTAACTCTTTAAATATTTTTATATTTTTTGCTGCAGGAAGATAGAAATCAGAAGGAAAGAATGCGATCACCAGGTACCGCTCCTTGTTGTTGTCAATACTCTGTACGTTAGTTAGAGTTTTAATTCACGGAACACTTAAATGCGCTTTAAACAGGTCACAGCAAGACGAGAATCTGTGAAAGCAAGATAGGCCTTTGACCTTTTACAAGTCTTTTTTGTCAGATATAGATCCTGAATTCAAGCGAATGAAAGAAGAACACTTAGTGAAAATGGCGTCACTGAGGCAAGAGGCGGAGTTGTTAAAACAACAAGCAGAGGTGGAAAAAATGAGGAAAGAACTCAAAGAGTTAAGAGGCGAAGGTTTGCCATTGGAAGAAAGTAGAAAGGTACCTGTCCGTATGAAAAGTTCTGTATCGAAATCTGGAATTCTCCTCACGGACATCTAGGTAGCTTTGAACCAGATGGGCACTGAGAGAATGCAACTGTAAATTATGCAATTATATCACACGCGTTTCACACGCGTTTCACGCGCGTTACACGCGCGTTTTCACACGAGGAGAAAATGGTTGCTCAAACTTGTTTCAGCGTCTCCTGGCCAATTATGATTGGTACCTACGTGTAGTGGAATCCCGATTTCTCGAACCACCTATTTTGCGAACCTCCCGATAACTCGAACCAAAAATCGTTTCTCTACAGGCCTTAGTCGAACACTGCAATTCCCCCNCCCCCCCCCACACCGATTTCTGGAACTACCCGATTTTTAAAACTAATTTCGTTTTCCTTGGAGGTTCTGAAAATCGAGATTCCACTGTCGATGGTAACATGCCAAAACAAGATAGCGTAAGAGAGTTCATCTCCCATATAGGCCACCAAGGTTGTTTTTAGATTTACAGTTGTTTTTAGATTTACATGCACTGTCAATAGCCATCCTCCACGACAACATCCACGGAAGAACATGAATACCAGATCTTAAAACATATGTCGGATCAACTCTGTTACTATTCATCTTCTTTTGGCGAAATGCCGGACGGCTAGGTAAACTTTATTTAAACACGCTGGCTCTATCAACTATGTAATATATTAACGCAGTTGTAGTCTATCTGTCATTAACTGTTCTGTTTACTGTAGGCCTTAGAGGCACCATTTATGATGACAAATTCAAGCGTGGATAAAGAATTACTACCGAGCCCTTACGATCCTAAGTAAGCAAATATATGCTTTATTGTCATAAAGATAATTTCTTTCTTACCGGTTGAGATTCGAAAGACGTAGAACATGTTCTTCTAACATTCGGCTGGAGCCTGGGTTTAAGGGACGTAGTTTGGTCATGTGGCATGAACAGGGGGGTGCAACTACTTTTTGTGTTTGATGTACATGTGACCCCAAGTTTTGTTAGGTGAGAATCCCCACGTAATGCTATAACTTCGTATTTTACAAGTCCAGAGAAAATATGATGAAGATAATAGAAAGAGGATTGTAAATAAGAATTCATAACTTGAAACACCAACTCATAGGATATTGCCATTTTCGCTGATACGATTTGTTCGCTACGCTAGAAAATACAGCGCGGTAGTTGATAAGGAAACCGTCAAATTTTCTTTAAGTTCTGTCGTCATATTAATCCGGGAGGGGGTTACTCCCATATATAAGCTGTATAGGTATGTGCCGCTGTGAAGGGTATGGTTTTCAGGCAGTGTAGTCTGGGATAGGGTATAGAAATCAGACAATTTTGGTCTGGAATAGGCTATAATTTACCAGAAAAGTGGACAGTGTATAAGTAATATGTCTAGAAAAGGGTTGTTTACCTGGGGTTCTATAATACAAATTGAAACTCGGAAGTGACTTCGTAAGATATTGGTTTAGTTAGCGTATGTTGGACTACGATATAGTGATGGTTTCTGCATGGAAAATAGCTAGTCTGGTCTACATTAAGGTTGCAAAATCGGGCTGATCATGGTCTGGTATAGAGTAGGGGTTTTGGCGTCTCAGTGGCAGACCCCTACCCAATGATTTACAGAACCCACCGTCCCGAGATTAACAGTGTGTTGTTGTTTCTTCTAGCGCCGGGTTCGCAGTATTCTGGGATTTCGTTCTTGGCCTCAGCTCGTCTTTTTCCAGGTGCAGACTGGCAGCAGGAATTTATCAAGGAGTGGAAATAGTGACAGATGTTAAACTGTTACCGCTCGTGAGAACAACTCCCATCACTAAGGACAGCTATCCCTCAGTACCTCCTGGTGGAGCAGGGATTATTAGCGTTAAACATCCGTTCCCAAGGTGAGCTTTGACATCCTGGGTACGGTTGTTCAGAGCCCGATTATTAAGCTAAGCCAGGTTTTGCGCTCTCTCCTCCGCAGAGGCTCAAAAGGGGTTTTTCGGGTGGGGAGAATCCGCTGAACCATGTGAGTGCAGGCGCAGGGTTTGCACCAGCACTCACCTTGCACAGGGGCTTTCTATAACGAACGTTTCAAACCTTTTGGGAGGAGAGAGGGATTAACGAGAATTTTGATTTGAGTTTTGTAACTTTTCGGTGTGGTTTTCTGTCTATAATTCTTAACTTTTAATCCTGGGTTAGCGTCAACCGGTTTTCGAACAACCCGTCCCTGGCTCTTAGGTGCAAACCAACGGCAAGCGGCGAGGAATGCCAAACTGTCTCTTTTCATTTCCTCAAAATATTCACCCTAGAAACACCATCTTACGTTCCGTCTTCTGCGTTTTAGTCAATGCGTTTTCTCCTACCGTTCACACTTAGAAGATCAAAGACGCTCGACCGTTTTCATCAAAGGCGTATACATGCATTTGAAAACGCTGCCCAGGGTCAAGACATTTGAAAACAGAGCCTTATTGTGCATATGTACACGTCAACGTAAATGCATTAGTGTGAACGAGGCCATAGATTGTATTCAAAAAGATGACGTCGCGCTCTACTATTATAGTCATTTTCTTTAAAGTTCTTGCAAATTGTCCGTGAAGCACTCAAATCTCAAAAAAATTCAAAGAACCAGGAAAAAACTAATCGAAACATTCCGAAAGTTGTCACGTCATAATGACGTCAGAGGCACGTCAGGCTGCTTAGCAACCCCTAATGAAAATTGCGGGCTCAGAATTCTTGATGATGGAGATTCTTCTCACTCTTTGGTGTTTTCTAATGTTTTTTGTATCGCTCTAGGTGCATTCCTGATCAAAATCTTAACCTTGTTGTGGAGCTGCAAGCAAACAGCACCGAGGACTCTGATGATCCAACACAGCTGTTTTCGAAAGGATGGACTAAAATCGACTTGTTTGACATCAGCAACAGATTGCTCAGTGGAAGGTATAAGCTCGACTCCTGAAATCCCTAGCATAAAATGCAAATTCTCCCTACCAGTCGTCACATTTGTTCTGAAGTTAGTTATAAGAATCTGATAATACATCAAAACATTTTGCCAATATCTTCAGTGTTGTCTCAGTTTTTTTCTTTATTTCTTTTCAGGTGGAAAGTACCGATTAGGATAGCTCCCATAAAAGCGTTTCTAAACACTTATGAACTAAACAAGATCCCACAGGTTTGTTCGCTTTTCTCTTTTGTCAAACTTATGCTTGTCTTCTCCAGTCGTGTTCTCTGTAATCTTTCTCACTATCCCAATAGTGGCTTTGAAACAAACACTACGGAAATACCACGACGACGCCTTGTTAAAGGAGCTAGGTCACGGTTTGCGCATCTTGAAACATGTAGCCTAANCAGGTCTTAAAAGCAGACAACAACATTCCAATTATGTGCGTCACTAAGTCGGCTCGTCAGGACTTTCTTGCGGGAATATACTCCTTTGGATTGCAAGAGGTAAATTAATAGACTTTTGAGGAAAGATCTTTTTTTTTTAAAAAAAAAAAAAAAAAAGAAGTGTTCTATATGATAATGATTATAAAACAAAGGGAAAATACTAAATTGTACTAAGGGTGAAACTGGAGCACAACATATATATACGAACATTAGATTAATTATGTGCTTTTATGGGAAGAAAAGTGAGGAAAATGAAACGTTTCCGAAACGTTAAATACATCCTGGTTTGACTTGATTTGAATAAGAGCAAAAGAATCATCTCCAAAGATTGATATTTTTTAACTTGAACGTATCGCCTTCATATATGGAGTCCACTAAGGAAGACAAGAACAGCATTTTTATGTTTCTGTGTAAAGATTGCTTTTATCAGCTGATGCGAGTTTATAGTTTTACAAGAACAGGACAAGAGTTTTTAACCTGGTGTTGCTAACGATATTTTATTTGGTTGTAGTGTTGCACAATGTGAACAATATTTTACGTTATGAAATTTTGTTCACTTGACATCTAGTTGCTTCTTGTTTATTAGAAAAAAAACCTGTTAACTTTGTTCACATTAGACTACGCTTTTATAGTTCCCCTACAAGTAGGTAGTGCCCCATTAATCTCTTTGAAGCTACAATTTGTTTTGTTTCTGGTGCCTTTTTAGAATTGTATAGTTTGTTTCTTGACTATACTGCAAATACAGACTCCTCTCCTCTCTCCTGGCCGCTTAGGGCGTTTGCAAAAGAAAGAAAAGCTGGCTTCTACTTGCAGATTTACTATTCTAAATTGAAATTGCCTGCTTTGCTGTTGAAACGTGTATAAATAGTTAAAAAGAAATTTATGAAAATAGTACTTGTTGCTATTAACCTAATGCAACATTTTAAACTACAGTGTCATACTTATTCTCCTTCGTGTTTTTTACATATTTGTTATTGTACCAGTTGGGAGAATTTTATAAGATATCAAAAAGTGATCATTTGTTTAATTCTCATGACCTTTTTACTAGAAAGTTTATTGATATTATAAGGAGATATTAAGTGTTAATCACTCTTGGGTTCGAAAGAGCTAAGTCACGATTCAATAATTAATACAAGCCGAAAAAATTCTTAAAATAATAGCTTACAAGGTCGAAAAACATCAAAGAATTAATTATAAACTAAAGAGGTACACGGATGTTTAGGACTGAGAAAGATTGAGATGAATTAATTAAAAAAATAATTCTTGAACTCTGTGACCGTGAGAAGGATCCATACATCGACGGTGATGTATCACATTCGTTTATCACGTTCATGTAATGTTCCTGATGTGTCTCAAGGTTTATTTTCCCACACATTTGTTTTTTATCTTGACATATGACGTTTCACGTAACTGTCACGATATGTCCGAGTCAAGGTGCGGTTACAAAGCAAAA